CTCGTGTATGCAACAGGGGTTGTCATCGTCGTGTCAAAATGTTATTTGTTGTGTAGGCTGTAGTGGGGTACTCAACAGTGAGTACAACCCTTATAGGGTTTCCTATATGTATCCCACCTGCCTGCTAGTTCAAATCTCTTCTGTTCTTACCATTACTGCACTGTGATTCTGACATGCTATCAGAGCAGGTCGACCCTCCTTGGTCGATCCTGTGGATGGGCCCACCCTACTGCTTCCGCTACTATTCTGCTAGTCGCGCGCCCCTAGCGCACGACATTTTTCAGCCCGCCGCGCGCCCCGTGGTGCGCGGCGGTTTTCTGCCCCCCGCGCGCCCCGGGGCCCGCGGCGGTTTTCTGCTCGGCGCGCCGCCCCCGTGCACCCGTCGCGTCGCCCCCGTGGACCCGCGCGTCGCCCCCATGGACCCGCGCGCCGCCCCTGTGCACCCGTCGCGCCGCCCCGTGGGACCCGCGCGTCGCCCCCATGGACCCGCGCGCCGCCTCTGTGGGACCCGCGCACCTCGGGGGGGGGGGGGGGGGGGGGGGGGGGGGGGGGGGGGGGGGGGGGGGGGGGTTTTCAGCCAGCGAGCCGCCCGTGCAGCCGGCGAACCGCCCCTGCAGCCTCTGCGCTGCCCCTGCAGCCCGTGCGCCACCTCTGCAGCCCGCGCGCCTGCCCCTGCAGTCGCGGGGCAGCTCCTACCCCGCTCCCCCGCCCCCCCTTCTTCTCCTTCATCTCCCTGTCGCGCGTGCAGCCGTGGGGGGGAGGGTATGGGGGTGGCAGGTGTGAGTGGTCGGCTGCTCCTCCTCCTCCTTTCTCTCCCACTGCTGCAGCTGCCGCTGAGGGGGGGATGGTGTGGAAGTTGAGGGAGTGGTGCTAGGGATGCAGTGGGGGATGTGACAAGGGGGTTTAGGGCAATGGGGGGAGGTTGAACGGAGGTAGCCGACGTGAAGTCCGCAGCTCTTGTCGCCCGTGAGACCGTTGCGTCAGAGGCCCGTGGGTCAGTTGCTCTTGCCGGCGAGCGAGCCAGTTACTCCGGTTACCCGTTGCTCCGGTCCCCAGAGGGTCAGTTGCTCTTGCCGGCGAGCAGAGCCAGTTACGCCATTTGCGACCAGTGCCAGCAGCTTCAGCGGCCGCCCACCTCGTCTCCTCTCCAGTTTCCTCCTCCTCCTCACTTGCCCTCTGCTTCTGCCACCAGTCTTTGCCTATGAACTGGTTCTGTTACTGCTTGTTCTGTTGGCTATACCCCACTTTGCCTATGGGGGTGTGTCAAACTGTTATTTGTTGTGTAGGCTGTAGTGGGGTACTCAGCAGTGAGTACAACCCTTTTAGGGTTTCCTATATGTATCCCACCTACCTGCTTGTTCAAATCTCTTCCGTTCTTACCATTCCTGCACTGTGATTCTGACACGTCGGTGGGGCAGCTTTGCTCGTCTTTTCCGTACCATATCAAGCTCGGTTTCAGCATTGATGCATTTAGTATTTGCCTCGAAATATACATTGTGGTTTTTATGCAAGTAAGGGCGTGCGTGTCAGAATTATATTCTTATTATACCTGCATGTAGTTCTAGCTGTAGTGTAGTTATTAACTTTGTAGGTGGTGCACCTCTTCATTTGCTTGCTACATGTACTCTCATGCTATAGTGAAACACTATCATTCCTTGTTCTTATTCTCACATGGTATCAGAGCCTGTTAAGTCCAGGCCTGTGGGCCCGCCTCACGCTTCCGCTACTGTTTTTCCGGTCGCGCGCCTCGGGCGCGTGGCGATTTTCGTCCTGTCCCGCGCCTGGGTGGCGCGTGACATCTTTTCTGCCCGTCGCGCGCCCCGTGGCACGCGACGGTGCCCTGCCCGTCGTGCGCCCCGTGGCACGCGACGGTGCCCTGAACTGCCCGTCGCGTGCCCCGTGGTGCGCGACGGTGCCCTGAGCCGCCGCGGATCCGCCACTGGCGCCCGCGACGGTGACCTGAGCCGCCGCGGACCCGCCTCTGGCGCCCGCGACGGTGCCCTGAGCCGCCGCGGACCCGCCCCTGGCGCCCGCGACGGTGCCCTGAGCCGCCGCGGACCCGCCCCTGGCGCCCGCGACGGTGCCCTGAGCCGCCGCGGACCCGCCCTTGGCGCCCGCGACGGTGCCCTGAGCCGCCGCGGACCCGCCCCTGGCGCCCGCGACGGTGCCCCTACCTCACCCGCGCCTGCACTCAGTGCAGCCGCCCCTGCAACACCCAGCGCCTGCCCTTGGAGCAGCCGCCCCCGCTCCTGCACTCGGTGCAGCCGCCTCTGCCTCACCCCGCGCCTGCACTCGCTGCAGCCGCCCCTGCCCTACCCGCGCCGACCCTCTGTAGCCGCTCTGTGGCTTTCTCCCCGCCCCCCCCCCTCCTCCTTCGTCTCCCTGCAGCCGTGGGGGGGAGGGTATGGGGGTGGCGGGTGTGGGGTGATGTGTGGTGTGCTTCCCTTCCCCTCCTCCTCCTTTCGTTCCCACTGCTGCAGCTGTCGCTGAGGGGGAGGGTGTGAGGGTGTGGGGGAGCCGGGGGAGTGGCACCGGGGTGGCGGGTGTGAGACCAACCAGCCGCCCCTCCTGAAGTTGGGGGGGGGGGGGGGGGGAGAGTAAAGGGGTGGCAGGAGTGCCTGCCCCTTTCCTGCTGTACCTGCTCTGTTGCCTTGCCTGCTGTTGCTGTTTTCTCTGTCTGTGGTGTACCCTTGCAGGTTGTAAACTGCACTTAGCTATTCCTGCATGCAGTTACGGGGGGATGTCAGAATTATATTCTTATTATACCTGCATGTAGTTCTAGCTGTAGTGTAGTTATTAACTTTGTAGGTGGTGCACCTCTTCATTTGTTTGCTATATGTACTCTCGTGCTATAGTGAAACACTATCATTCCTTGTTCTTATTCTCACAGTGCGGTACTGTAACTTGTGTACGTGTGTCTTTAGATGGTAGTATACGTGTGGTCTATTCTGTTTGTGTGTCTTAGGAGGTATTGCTATTTGGGTTCAAGTTACTGTCCAACCAATTTTTCCATTCGCCATACTTCTCGATAATTTTGGGATTATTGGGTACGTTTGGTTACACAATTTTGGGAACGTACGCTTGGTTCCACAATTTTGCCAACGTACGTTTGGTTCCACAAATTTAACAGCTGTTTTTTGTTTCCCAAACAGTCAGGGAAAATCACTGTTCACGGCCAGTTTCCCAAAAAGTTAAACCAAATGTATAAGGTTGCTACGCAACCCAAATTTCCTTACATACCCCCTTTGGGAAATTCTCTTCGTTAATTTGATTGCACGTAATCAGTCACTATCAAGTGGAAAAAAAAAACGCGAATGATCATAGATGAAACTTCCATCAAAACAAAATGAAACCTTAAAAAAACCTGGATGCATTTTCGGATGAATCAACCCTAAATACGTAACTCGCCAGGTGTTTAGGGTTGATCCGTTCCCAAACCGCATCCGATTCCGATTGGGTTTTAGTTTTTTTAGAAGTTAGCAGATTGGTTGGTCGCGAGCGGGAATTTTGTTGAGTTTCAAGTTTTTTTGGCGGGAGTTACATGTGTGACCATTCGCGTGATTTTTACCTGTTGTTAGTGACTGAATCCGTGACCCCACTTACCAAACCCGTCAGAAAACCCAATACAGTGACCGTACGCTTTTTGTTTTTACCATTCACGTTATCGAGTCCCAAGTTGGTTATGGCATATTTTCCCTATTACAAATGCCAAAATATCATCCTGCATGGGGGTGGGGTGCCAGCTACAGGGTGCCTGCGGTGCGGAACCTATGTCTTAAAACCGGGGTGCACATTCAGCTGAATGTGCATCAAAGGTTATCCCTTGACTGAGTGGGTTACGAGGTGTGCTTTCAACCCCTTCAAGTCGAAATTCGTTTCCCCCCTCCCCCGCAATTTCGTTTCCCCACGCCCCCGCAATTTCATTTCCCCCTCCCCGTCGAAATTCGTTTCCCCCCTCCCCCGCAATTTTGTTTCCCCCCTCCCCCGCAATTTCGTTTCCCCCCCCTCCCGCCAATCTGTTTCATCCCTCCCGCCATTCGGTTTCACCCACTCCCGCCATTTCACCCCCTCCCGCCACCTACGAAATGCCCGAAGCTCTAGCGGAATCATTTTTTTGTCGCCCCTCGTGAGCCAATCACTGTTTTTCTCCAAACCCCCTTCCCAACATCTCAAGCCGAACCGCGTTGAATGTGCACCCTGGTTTTAAGTCAACTACGGGCCAGTGCAGGCATTTGGATTTTCTCCTTCCTCCACCACGCCAGACAATTGAGATCGCCGCAATTGCAATATACCTGTCGGCATGGCCTTGTCTGACACCAAGGTCTGGTCAACTGCCAAAGCTCGCGCCATTGGCTCACCCCACTCAAGCTACACAATCTGCACTCTCCCCCACAGCCAACCACTCACCCTCAATACGACGATGATGGGTGCTTTCCTCTCGACGGAGCTACCACTTTCCCACCGCCAAAGACGTTATGCATCAGTAATTCCACCCTATGCGGCATTAGTAAGTCCGAGCGAGTCTGCGTCACCTCCTGGTAGTAGCACTAGCCATGGCGGAGGCGGTCGCAGTGGTGCGCGCGAAAAAGCAGGCGGAGGCGGCCGCGGCCGCGGAGGCGAATGGGGGGGCGGACGCGACGCTGCTGTGGCGGTCGGAGAGCTTGCTGGAGGAGAAGTTCCACGCGTACGAGGCGGCCAATAAACGCATGTGGTTCCGATCCAAGTCCCACGCTGCTGCGTCCAGGTACTGAAGAACAACTTTGAACGCGACAACTTTCTGTGAACCTTTTCCGGTTCGCTCTTGTCATTTTTGCCTTGCAAAGTTGCACGGCGGTTCCATTTTTCGGTCCGCTAATCTAGATACCCTTCCGCTCCGCCCATTCCTTCCGCTTCGTGTGCTTGCAAGCCATGGCTCGAAGCCATCGGGGTCTCGCATCCGCACGACGCACAACTTGGACTTCCTCGATAGCCACGGGTTCGCTCCGCGGAATGCGGAGCTCATGACACGTGTCGCAGCAGGCGCGTCGTTCAATCCGTCCGACTGCGTCGAAGAGGAGGGCGAAGGCGAGAATGAGCCAGGTTGCGGCGACGACGAGGGAGAGGGGAGAGCTGGCGGCCAAGGGGTGGACGAGGGGAGTCGCGCGGGGATGGGCGCGGAGGGGTTGGCGGAGGAAGGGCGAGCCGGCGGAGAAGGTTGTTGGGGAAACAAGGTCGCGAGGGACAGCGGCAGCAGCCACCATGAGAGTGCAGCGGATGTTGAGAGGGGATTGCACGGTTTACTGCCGCAGTGCGGGGCGGGGATCAGGCAGGCGGACAGCACGGGTTGCGAGGGGAGCAGCAGTGCGGAGGGCGCGGAGGGCGCGGAAGGCGTGGAGGGGCGGAAGGCGACTGAGAAGGGGGCTCCCCTGAAGCGCAGCTTGACGGCGGATGCAGCAGGGACGACCATGGCGCGGGGCGCGCCCAAGAGCATGGGGGGGGCGAGCATGAGGGCTGCGAGCGTGGCGGGGGCGAGCTTGCGGCGATCGCTGAGCGACGTGCTGCTGCAGGACACGGAGATGGACGAGATGGACAGAGACGTGCTGCAAGGTGCGCGCAGGTTCAAAGCGGTAGCAAGCGGTGCTCCACTGGCAGGGACCTTTCTTGCACGCCGTGCCATAACCACCGTCCTCTCCTCACCGCTGCGTTTCGCCGCCTGAAGGAGTGGAATCGAGGCGCCCGCCTCAGTGTCAGCGGCAAAAGAGCCCCCTGTGCAGTGACCATGATCATGCCCATGTGATGTCATCCCTGTCTCCCTCCCTCCGCCCCTCTCGTGCGTGACAGAGGCGTTCTCGTGTGTGGTGGCGCTGCAGCAGCGCGTGCAGCACTACCGCGACCTGGGGGGGTTTACGCTGCTCATGGCGCTCTTCACCACCATCCTCTACCTGCAGGCTGATTCCTCTTGCAGCTATGAAATCACTGCCGCCCACTCTGTGCTCTTCCCCCCTGTATGTTCCCCTCCCCCTCCTCCCCCCCACTCACTCCCTTCCTCCACTGCTCCATGCTCCAATCCACCCGCCTGTTTGTCCAGTTGCTTTCCTCTGCTTGTCTCGCTTCCTCTCGTCTCCTCCCCGTGCCTCAGAGCTTCCTGTGATTTCTGAAGCCCTGTGCCCTCTCGGATTGTATCGTGAACCACTCACATCACATTTACTCACGTCTCTGTTCTGCCACTGCCGCCTCCTATCCTCTCCCTCACTCCTGCTTCCCCACTGCGCCACCTCCCAATGCCACCAGGGTATGAGTCAGGACGCGTCCAACACCTTTGCAGGCCCCGCTGACTTCTATGACTGGCTCAACACCACCATCGTGCAGGTCAGTGACCCGACCAATTACACCGATCACGCCGATCACCCCGGTTACACCTGATACCTTGATTACAGCGATTACCATGAGTCACCTCACCGCAAAGCGGTGGCTCAACAACACCGTGGTTCAGGCAGGTGAGCCGATATTCAGTCAACGCATACACTGTGTCATGCACGTGACACTGTCTTCCTGCCTCTCTACCCTTGATTCATGTCTCCCCTCTCTCGAGCACCTGTTGTTGCATGTTGCCCTCCACACACACTCTCCCATGCCACATCACAGCTTTCCGTTCCACTTCCTTCACCAGAGAACCCACACACGTATCATCGGGCCTTTTGTGTCGCACCTGCCCCGTGTTCCTCCCTGTCGTCCCCTCAGACCCTCTGGGCGGACCTTCCGTGTGGCGACGGCACGTGCGACCGTCCCTTCCAGTTCCCCGCCTTCGGCCGCTTTGGTTGCCATGCGGATTGTGGCACCTTCCCCAACCTCACCTCGGTCATCATCACCTTCTCCTCCCAGCTCGATACCCAGGGGGCTGCGGAGGAACCTTCCTGGAACCTCTGCATGGTCAACCCCGTGTCCCTCTGCTGGTATGTTCTTCCCACTTGCAAAGGAAGCAGCTACTCTGCCAGTGAACGTACCCTCCTCCATCCGTCCTGCTCATCTTGCCGTCAACCATCTTATGTATGGGGTCATCACATCCCACCCCATTCCATCCTATCCCACCCACACCACCCCACCCCACCCCATCGTCCCACCCCGTACAATCATCAGGTATGAGGCCTTCCAGCCAGTGGCAGGCGGGGAGGTGGCAGTGGAGATGGAGATACCGGACGGTGACTGGGAGGTGCTGCTCAACGCGCCCTCGGGGGGCATCAGGGGCGCCGTGCACGCGCCCCCTCCCGGCACGCGCCGCCTCTCCGTGATTGGCTCCGCCAGCACGGTGGAGCTGGTGGCATGGGGGGACTGCGTCAGTGGCGATGCCGTCGATGCGAATGCGGCCAATCAGAAGGGGGCCAGTGGCGGTTCTTCCGCTGCTGCTGATGTCTCCCGCAATGTGAGTATGTAGTTGCTCACTTTTCCGCCGTGTTGTTTAACATGTGAAGCTTTCAGCATATGTATAATGTAAGTCTGAGCTGGGTGTGGTGCCTATACTTTCTAATCCATTTGATGTTAATATATCCAGCTCCATCCATCCATCCATCCATCCATCCATCCATCCATCCATCCATCCATCCATCCATCCATCCATCCATCCATCCATCCATCCATCCATCCGTCCGTCCGTCCATGCATGCATGCATGCGTGTGTGTGCAGACGTGTGTGAGCCTGACCACGTGTCTGCCAGCAGCGTGCGGGCGGGCATTCACAGAGAGGGAGGTGGCAGGGGAGTTTGTGGACTGTGTGCGCATGTGCGTGGTGGCGCCCTCCACCATCACGCGCTATGCAGGCACCCCCTGTCCCATGGTAAGCCACCCATCTCCCACCCTTTGGGCTGAAAAAAACCAGTAAGACCTTTGGAGAGATCATGGTCTGTTGTGTGGCGGTAGGAGTCTTGATTCTCTGTACTAGTATGTGCGAGAAAAAAGTCATTCAATCCGATGTGTAAGGCCACCGACCTATCTTTGGGCAGCCGGCAGCACTCTGTGGCCCACTCATGACTCCAGCTCCCACCTTTCCTGGCCCCCATCAGCCCACTTGGTTCTCACTCGTCCCTCACAATTTCCCTTTAATGCCATCCCCCCACTCGCCAGTCGGACATTGCTACAGTATTCTCCAACACCCCGTGCAACACATCAGGTATGCACTTGCTACAGCGCATTAAGCTGGAAAATCATTCAATGTCTGTCAAGTACAAGTCCCTCATGGCGTCGCACAACATTTTGCTGCGACTCAACATTCAACCCCTACTGTACTCCTAAAACCTTCCACATTCCTTACCATGATACGAGTGTGGCTACTTGTAGTACCTTTGCTTCACTTCTCATTGCGCCTCTCCTCGTCCTGTGCCAGCTGCAAGCAGGTGCTTCTCGAGCAGCTCAACGGTGAGCTCGGTGGGGCAGAGGGCGAGAAAGTGGTCCCTGACTGCCCGAAGAGAGTCAGGGAGACGGGTGACTAGGTGGTAGAGAACGAGGTACATCGGGGGAGGATTCTTGGCTAGAAACTCAGCATGAAGGGCGGCTCCGTAGCGAGTGTCACTAGTGCGGAGGTGAGTAATGAGGTCAGCGACTGTGGGAAAGGCGGCCTGATGAGGGAAAAGATAGGGCAGCGAGAGACGGCCGATCGTAGCAGAGGCAGGCGAGGAGTAGCGCGCTACTACAGCATCGTACAGTGCCTAAGCAGTCTTGTGCTGGCCAAAATGCGCGCGCTCATCTAGCGGTAGGTGGCTGCGAATGGCTAGGCGAGCGTGAGCGTCACGAGTCTGCCACTGGGAGCGAGCCAAGCATCAAACTGAACCGGGCGGCCCTCAGCATCGAAAGTAGCCATGGTGGCAGCAGTAGCAGTAGCAGTAGTAGCAGTAACAGCAGTAGTAATAGCACCAGTAGCAGTAAGAACAGCAGTAGCAGCAGGAACAGGAGCAGCAGTTGCTCCAGGTGGGGCAGCGCGGCTCGGTAAGGGCGACGCGACTCGGGCAGGACGACGCGACGCGGCTCGGGCAGGCAGGGCGGCTCGGCGGCGGGCCTGTGCACGGTGCGCAGCTGCGTCTAGGGTGCGGCTGCGCGCGGGCCGCGGCTGCGTGTAGGCGGCGGCTAAGCGCGAGCTGCAACAGCCGACGCGCGACAGCCGCGGTGCGAGGGCTGCGACCTTCGGGCGGCCGGCAGCTGGTCGAGCGTCGGCCTACGGGCGAGCGGCGGCCTACGGGCGGCGGCCTACGGGCGCGCGCGAGAAAACGGGCCGCGCACGGGCGGCTAGTGGGCTGCGCGCGCTAAAAACGGGGGGGGCGCGCTCGGGCGGCTAGCGGGCTGCACACGGGCAGCGTGAGAGGGAGGGCGCGCGAGGGCGCACTAGCAGAGAGGCGCACGAGGGCGCTAAGAAGGTGGGGCGCACGAGGGCGCTTCTAGCGGAACGGTGGGCCCTTAGGACTAAGCGGTCCTAGGTTCCTAACCTAGGCTCGTAATACCATGTCAAAATGAACAAGTGCGTGTGCACTAGAAAAGTGGTGGGTACAAGTAGGAAACCCTAAACTTACTGTACCCCATAGTAACTACCCCACTACATCCTAAACAAACAGTAGAGTATAAATTTGACACAGTGGACTGCAAAACGGTTGGCTGCAAGGTTCGTTAATTCTAACCTGCCCGACTCCGATAGTTTTTGCTTTCTTCTTGCCTGAAGGCCACGGATACCCCTCTGCCCACCATACAAAGCGTGGGACTCATGGACCAAGAAACATTGAACAAGATGTTGGCGCAAATGCAAGAGCTACAGGCATAAGTGCAGAGTCTCTCGGCAGAAGTGACAACATTACGTGAGGAAAACACCGAGCTACGCCAGACGCGAGGTGAAGCGCATCAGGAGTCGCCCGATGAAGAAGGCGACGGCAACAGTCAAGCGGTGAGCAACCCGTTAGACGTGCTCACACGTGACTTTGAAGAAGAAGATAGGCAGTGGGCGGTAGCGACGCCAATTGCAGTAACGTCGGTCAAGATTAAACCTGTGAGCCCGCCCCCATTCATTCCGACGGACAAGAACACTACAGTGAAGGGGTGGCTCTTCGGCGTTGAAGTCTTCTTCACTGCAGCGAACGTTGACGACCATGCCACACGTATTAATTACGCGGTTTCCCTTCTTCGAGGCGCAGCGCTTGAATGGTGGCGCCGAACTCTGGACACGGGGACCCCGACAGGTGTGACACATGCGGCAGACGGGACCTCAACATCGGCTAATCAAGTGGCAGAACCAATCTTCGGAGTTACCGAGATACGCACGTGGAATGAGTGGGGCGCAGCCTTATGAGATCGCTTTGATCACGTATCCGCCTCGGAGCAAGCTCGCATGAAGTTGCGTGCCTGGTCGCAGATGGCATCTGTCCAGGACTACACAGCGTCATTCATGGCACTCCCCGACCAAGTGGACGATATGTCGGAAGCAGAGCGGTTGGATAAATACATCAGCGGCCTTAATTACGAAGTACAGTACGAGGTGCGCCGATGCCGCCCGACGTCGTTCTTGGAAGCAGTACGGTTGGCAGAGTCCACTGATGCACTGATGCAATATGCGAGAACAGCTTCCCGGCACGGAATCCGTTTTCGTGGCCAGACCCAACGGGTCACATCAACGTAGTCCATACACCCGGGCGCCCCTTTCAAGGAACGTGCTACCGGTGTGGGAAGACAGGTCACTACATGAGCGACTGCCCCGTAACATCACCAGCGAAGGGGGACGACATGAAGGAGCAGGGAAATTGGAAGAGTCTGGAATTAACGGGCCCCTTACTGACTATGCTCCGTCGCCCGAACACCACATGTCAGAAACTAACGAGCAGGAATGATTGCATTGAGAAGGGAAGTGATACAAGTACTAACCCTAATTTGGGTTGTACCCCATATGGGTTACCCCACTGTAGCCTACACAACAATATAACAGTTTGACACACCCCCATAGGCAAAGTGGGGGAAAACAAGGGGTCACAAGACCAGTCAAGAAAAACAAAGCAAGCTCAGGGTGGATCACGAAGTCACCACACACTCTGAGCACAAGCAAATGGCCACAAGGCCAGTTCACATGCAGAGTTATATGATGGAGAACAAGCAGTACTGTGATCACAACCTAGCAAGTGTAAGCATGCAGGTATAAGCATATAGATCACAGTACAAGCAAAGTCAAGAAGTGAGCAAGTGAGACCAAGTAGGCACAAGGCCTAAAACAGTACAGAAACGCTGATGATCACAAGGCTGAAGTGCCTTGGTGAATATATCAGCAGTGTTGGCCCGAGAGGCCACGTAAGCAAGACGAAGCTAACCACGCTGCTGCAACTCTCGAGCAAGGAAGTAACGCAGAGCGATGTGCTTCGTCCTGTGCTCCAGTCTATGCACCTGACACAAGGCAATCATGGCCTTGTTGTCGATGTACAGAACTGGAGGAGAACGAGGCGGCTCTCCCAAGTCGGTCAGCAGGTAGGTGAGCCAGCGTAACTCCTTTGCAGCCATGGCCCCTGCGTAGATCTCAGCCTCACAACTTGAAAAAAGAACAGAAGACGAGCGGGTAGACTGCCAAGAAACAGAGCCGGAGCCAAGGCTGAAATTGTAACCCTGTGACAACCGCTGCGTAGCCAAGTCGTCAACCCAAGAAGCGTCTGCGTGTCCAGTGAGGACAACTGGACCCCATCCTCCAAGCACGAGCCCCATGCCTGACGTACTGCACAAGTAGCGCATCACCCTCTTAGCGGCCTCCCAGTGCCCTGGTTGGTGTCTCCCGGGCGCAACGTAGCGTGCCAGGATACTAAGAGGGTAGGCAAGGTCAGGTCGAGTGCAGGTCATCAGATACATGAGGCAGCCCACAAGCTTTGGATACGGGCCACTCGGCTCTACGGACTCGTCCAAAGGTGGAGCTGAGAGCGAATGACCCGTAGGTAGAGGAGTGGAATGTGGCGAGGAGTACTGGAAGCGGAAGCGCTGAAGGACATGCTGCACCATGTGTAACTGAGTCAAGGTAGTGGTGCGCCGTGCTCTGTCCCGGGTGATCTGCAAGCCAAGATAGTTGCGCAGCTCACCAAGGTCTGTGCACGTGTGTCTCTTTTGCAGCTCCGACTTCACTAGGGCCAGTCCCTCAGTGTCAGCAATGGCAAAGACCAAGTCGTCGATGTACATGAGGATGTAGAACGGCGGCAGCGAAGTGTCGGTGCGTAGAAACAGCGACGGGTCAGCAGTGGAAGGAGCAAACCCAAGAGCCGGAAGCGTAGTCCTCAGTGTGTCGTGCCACTCGCGAGGCGACTGGCGGAGACCGGTGACTGGCCACCAGAGGCTCCACTGGGTACCTGCAGGAAACAACCCAGTGAAGCCAGGTGGGCGGCGCAGCCAGATCTCCTCGTGCAGGCTGCCCTGTAGGATTTCTGTGCTAAAGTCAAGAGAGTGAAGCTCGTAGTCACGCTGAGCGGCGACGTGCAGCATGACCCGAAGAGTGGTCATCTTCGGGATAGGGCAGAAGGTCTGGAAGAAGTTAACTCCTTGTCGCCGACTGAAGCCTCGTGCAACGTAACGCGCCTTGAAGACAGGCGGAGAACGCGACGGCCGCTTCATCCTGAAAATCCACATGCCATCGACTATGTTCGCCCCACGAGGGGGAACTGCGTCGACTTAAGTGCCTATGGACTACCAGGATGCCATCTCTGCGTCCATGGCTGACTGCCACTGAGAGGAGTAGGGGCCCTCTATCGCCTCTGCCTAAGAGCGCGGGGTCGAGATGTGTGGTGCATCCGGGTCTCCCTCAGGTGCAATCAGCATGGACACAAGATGAGGTACAGCAGCTGCAAAACACTCAAAGTCCTCCTGCTTGTCCTCAAGGACGTCCGT